AATATGCCACAAAACGAAAACAAAACTATTCTACACGCATAGACCAACCATGAGGGTGAACAGGCGTTACAAGAATCCTGCACAAATCTTCAGCGGTAATTTATCTCCCTTTTGAACCGTGCCTTGAGATGCGCCATCGTGGAGTTAATGCAACAACTAAAAAAATACTTCAGAATATTACGGAGACTGCATATGATCATTTCGCGCATCAGCACAATCCGCTCGGGCGAAATTGCTCCACGATCGAAATGGCTTCTCACGGTCTGGTGGCAAGTCGGATCCAGTCACTCGCGGCAGAAGAAGTTCAGAAAAATAGCTACCGGGTATCCAGCAACTCGGAATTGACTTCAAGCCATTTAAGAAGGCCAGTCATATCGGTCACTTGGCTATTACTCGCCCGGGATCTCACGCAGCCAGTAGAGGAAAGAAACAGAAATGTAAATAGTCTTTACATCTCATCTCTCGCAGCATCATGTCTTCCCTCTTGCGACGTCTTGCCTTGCCCTCTGTACTCCGCAAATTGTTGAGATCATTTTTTACCGATAACCACTATGCCTTCCCATGCAAAATAAACTTGGTTACTCGAATAATTAAACTAAGTGGGTAATCTTTAATCAGGTATGCCTTGCTGGAGGACAGCGTCGCCAGTAGTGACCTCGGCGCAGTTTGCTAAAGCATGTGCTTTGTTTCAAGTAATCATCCTGGGTCTTTGCTTAAGCAAAATGTCCACGCTTCGACAAGTGGACTGTATTTGCAGCTTCGAAATAACTTTGCATTTAGGTATAGAATAAAATATTTCTGTCCGAGATCAAACCTGCTTCATCGCTGTTCCTCCGTGTTGCATGATGGCTCTGCCGCGTTACGTCTCCCACTCGAAAAGGTCTTAAACTGGAGTAAATGGGCAATGGTTAATACTGAATCAGACTATCTAACGGGGCCAACGTTTTTTACTGAAGCCAAACCCCACCAATCGAGGTTACCTGTGCTTGGAAGAAAATGGAGGCATTCTTTACGTGATCTTTTCATTAACCCTCACTATGCGACGTAGCCATCACTGCTGTGCGCAGTTCAACAATCGTTCTTGCTCTTTTCTGAGAGCAACATTTCTATACCGTACAATAATATGGACCTGATGGAGGAAAGGTATGGCAAACTTTTGAGGATGAGGCCAATTTCTGCAGCTGTGTCGCATACAGAAGCAGTCGGATAACAGAGCCCTCATCCCGTACAAAACAATATCTCCGAGTCAGCAAAATGTCTGGCCAAGAGCCTAGAACTGCCCCTTCCTTCTAAAAGTGCGCCTTCATCTCCGAGAGGATCAGAACTGTTTCAGGGAAGGAAGTTTACGGATATATGTAAAGTAGATGTGTATGGAAGAACGCTTTCTCGCGACGAAGATCATGATTTGTGGTAGAAAAACCAGCAACATCTAATATAAATCTGGGACACCGTTTCAAACGCAAATCTGTTGCTCTGTTGCTCCAGCTTTGGCAGCCATACGCGATAGTGATAATAGCAACAAGAGCACAGAATTTAGAGCATTGTTACTGATTTAACAAACAAAAAATCAAAACAATAAACAAACGAGACACAGAACAAAACAGAAATGGGGAGTTATATCCCTAAGCTTGTAAGAAGTATCTTTTAAGCATCTATACGGTACAAACAAGTGCTATAATGGTAAAAATATCAAACGATGGCGACGCAGAAGCGATTTCATTTCAGATAGCATCGAGAGTAATTCTTAAGAGTTCGACACAACGGCCGCTAACTGATACGATCGGTACAGACAACTATTTGTCACTGTCGGATGTGGAAGCCGGTTTTTGGAACAAAATACAGCTCAGAGATTTTGACTTCCCTTCGGTCGTCTTGAACGAATCCACGTAGTTCTTCGGCTGGGCTCTGTGCATACGTGTCCTAAATGTATATACAAAACAGGCATTGTGGTGAACGTCAAGCATACCATTTGCTACGTTCAAAGTCCAGCTGCTGTTTGTAGTAGATTGTGTTCCGCAACGACTCTTGGATGGATACGAACGTTGAACGAGACCTAAGAATTGCTTTGACCGCTCTAAATACCAAATATTAGAGTAGCGAGTTACAGTAAAACGAAACTAATTGGTACTCGGTAATGCTTTTCGCATCTTCGCACATCTGACGTACGACTTCGTCCAACGCCTGGTTCTGCTGCTAAAATGATGCGGAAAATTAAACAGTATTACGGAACAAGTAATTTTTGCAATATGGCTACGCGGAGGTGACCATCAATTTCAAATTTCAGTATATAGATTATTAAGTCAACGAATGGCCGATGCCATAGCATTCTGGGTATCATTTGTGTTACGGTCAAACTTTCGCAGGGGCAATCAGAAATTATGTGCAGCACTGTGTGATCTACATGGCCGCAGCCACGCTACGGGCCGGACATCATTTTCAAATGGTGGAGGTATCAACAAGTGACCTTGTCTTGTTCGAATCCCGTTTAATCTTAAACGCTCTCGCGAGTCAAATTCATTCCATAGGATTCTGTGGTCGGGTTAAGGATAAGGTCTGTTTTGGGAGACTGTAGCATCTCTCGATAAGATCGGGTTTGTTTTTATGTACGGTTCAAACATCGGTAATTTACGTAATAAGATATATGCGCTGAGCAATCCTGTAGGAAACATGAAAACCACACAGCTAATCTCCAGCATAAAATAGAACCATGTTTAATTTTCAAGTCTACAAAGCTTATAACAAAAACATTCATACTATACCCAAAAAAAGCTCCGACAAAAATGGGAAGACGACTACACTAGCCTTGACACTATCAACAGGTGGCTCGCCATCTTGAGCTACAGGATCGTTGCAATCTTGTTCCGGATTCCCCCGTTGTCTTGCGTTCTCTGAGCCAAAGGCAATTACTTACAGTTTTAAAAACAAACATTTGTAAACTTTGATCGAAAACCAGTGCCAAACTCTTTGTAAACTTCCACTGAAGATCTAGTGCTTTAGAAACGCTATCATTGGCCGTTTAAAAAATAAATATCAGTTCCACATGTTGCCAAATTGTTTTAGCCGGTCATTAGCAGTCACTGTTTCTTTTTGTGTTCTGGCATTGCTTACCTTTTTTATTGGCATTTTCACTCGATTAAACTTCCAGTCGTGTAATGCCAACTGAGGCTTAGTTTGATCAGTCTAAAATCCACTTCAATTAGTGAAGTGCAGAAAACATTACAATTCGCTATTTTTGCTTAGTCGATCTGCGGATTGAGCAGGTTTTAAGACTGTTGGAACAGAAAAGCAGGTTTTGATCATATAGCTCACGAACAAAAGACATTCTGTCCTCGGGATTTCATATTTCAAACATTTGCATTGAATAATTATGAATTTCTGGATATGCAAATTATTCATTTGTTGAACAATTAAAGTCGAAACATACTTTTCTTTCGATCAGTGCAGGAGTCGTCTTCCTCACATGTTCTTGCAGTCGATATAAACCCAACGAAGGGTCGTTCGCCAAAATGTGTAGACCTTCAGAAACGTTCTCGCAACCTACGACCTCTTCTTACAAATGACCAACAAGTCAGAGCAACTAGTACATTTTTTGCATTTCAGTTCCAGGTCTCTGTCCATGCATAGATCTTGGCTTCGATAAACGTTTCAATCCTGCGTGCGATATATAAATATATCTCTAAACGAAATTATTGCAACATTGTCAGTCTCAACTCTGTATAACCTTAAGTTCATGAGCAATTACGTGATTAGAGCTTTTATACAATAAGAGACAAGTATCCTGAGCTAGAAATTCGTTAGATAAAAACTCAAGGAATAGTAAAGCTTGCTTAGAATACTGTCAAGAACAAAACAATAATCAGCGATGGATCAATAATCAACTATTAATCTCCTCTTTGTTTTTAATTAAAGTAATAATTTCTGTCAAGGAATAAGGTCAGAGATTTGTCTTGTCACCAGTAGAAATCGAAACAGTTTATTTCATTGTACTCCCATTTGAAACGTTACCTCATGATAAGGAGTAAGCGTTCTCCTTTCTGAGTTTCTTGAGATTATCACCGTCAGCTCTTTGCACAAGTGGAACACATCTGATCCGTACTATCCGCCGCATCCGCAGCTTTTCAACACTTTCTCTATAATGCACCGGTTATTTTGCCGTAAAGCTAGCGATTTCTCTCCCAAAGCAAACCTGCCTCTATCTTAATCTTTTTCCACGCAATACGATAACCTCCACTTAATTGATGTCTATCGTGTCTCGGTTCCAACTTTAGAGCTCTAGGATTAGAGTAAACGATTTACGTTTAACCAGTTTGTCTAATAATGTCAACACCTTTACGCGGCACCAAGAAAAAATAGATATTTTAAAATGATCCTGCCCTTTGCTTAAATGCCATTTATCTACAGCCGATACTCGGCCTACCAGATGGCTCTGTGACTATTTTTGTATCAAGCCAGTTAGTAAGAACTGGGATCTCGCTTCAACCGCATTGTGTTGGAAATATTGCATTAGCATGTGTTCAATAAATATCGAAATCATAATACTTAAACTTTTGAAATATTATTACAGCAAAACAAACAGCATTTTATATACTATCGAATTTTACAGTATAAGGCAAAATCCTGGCATCAATTCAATATATTTCACCAGCAAAAAAATTTACTTCCAGAAGCAATTTATATTTCGACAAAGAGCATACCTCGCAAAAACAAAACAGCGTAATAGAACATCTGAAACATTTGGCAAACAAGCACTGTTTTCTTCAGCCACCTCGCCTGGTTCTCTAGCCTGTCATTCCTGATATTTATGATTTTTTGGTACGCCTCCAGTTTTACTTCCACAGCCTGCTACCAGCTGCGAAAGGTATAATAACTAAATCACAAAACTGAACTCAAATAAATCTTAAATGGTTTGAAAAGGGCTTGAGAATGCTTTCCCGGAGATGGCCAGAATAATGTCACAAGTGCATGTAAGGTCCCTGCTCCCGATTCAGGTTATTTTTCGCGGAAGCTCAAACACTGGCACAGCATCAGAAATATTGGAGGCACTGTCTGATTCGCCTGCCTCGCGACCCGAAGGATGAGCGGTCATCAAAACTGCCATCTGATAAATCTTAAATCGTATCTACGATGTGAGGGCCAGAAGCTGACCAAAGTACACTATTGAATGCGAAACTGAAACGACGCACAATTTTCAGAATAAATCAGTAAGTCATGCAACCTCATCCACTTGTTGATTTGGTCAGGAAATTAATTAATTGGTGAAACAGTCACCTCGAATCAGGCAATCAACCATTCACTTCCTCAATTAGTAATTTACTCTGTCATCTAACTTAGTCATTTACTCCATCAATTGGTGATGCTCAGTTAGTCGATAAATGAGTTTTTTCGTTTGTTTCCAAGTTCAACTTGTATTTTATTGTTCCTGGTCAATGGTCAATCAAGCAAGCTTCCCTGAGTAGATTCCAATTAATGGTGATGCCAAATGTCAAACATATGCCAGCCACATACCTACCATATCTTCACAAAACAATCTTCTATGTGGCTCGACAAAAAGAGCAAGTCTCGTAATTCTTTTCTCCATAATATTGAGAGAAATTTTCTGTCTAACCTCTTAACAGAAGATAACGCTCAAGGAAAGCAAAAATTTTTTTAATGAACATATCTCGTTAAACGCAGTTTTAAAAGCGTTTACTCTTTACAACGTCGATGGAACGTTTCTTGACCTCTGGAATAACGTAAGTTTCGTCAGACGGTAATTCTGTGGAACCGGCATGCTCAGAAGCATGTTCAGACTCGTAATCCGGATGCACCATTTTCTCCCATTTCGACCGGTTCTCAAAAAAGAAAAGTACTTCTTCTTCTTCCTGTAACTCTTTACGTCGTTGTTCCATGTACTTCAGTTTTTCACGCATCAACACCCGACGGATCTGAACAACACGAAAATATGCGTTACTGAACATTTCCAATAATAAAACATATCACGTATAAAATTTGTCAAATACCCACAGCAAGCTTATTTCTAGCTTTTGATTAACCTACTCCCCCAAAGCTCTGGCTAATGCTTCATGCCATCAGAATATCCCAAAATTACTAAGCTCGTTATAAGGAGGCAACCGAACCCGTCGAAAACAACCTGCGCATGTATTCAACAATTGAAATAACATCATTACGTATAAAAACCCATTTCAGTCTAAATAAAACAATTACAATTCACAGTCATGTACAAATTTAGAAAGTTATATAATCACGCCAACCTTATACAACCTGTGCAATCAAATCAAAACTCGATGTTATCTGCAACGTCTCTGACTAAGCGCAAACCTAAACTCAGACATAACATTAAATATTCAATATATACTTATCGACCTTGTTTGTGAAGACTGAAATAAATTTGTATATACAACGATTTATTGTAAAAAGAGAAACATTTTCAGGTGTGATTTTTTGACGAGTCAGTGCATTATATAAAAACAAGTTAGAATAAATCAAACGACAATATTCTGTATGTTCGTAATTTGGCGCCCTCAAACAAAAGTGCTTATTATCACTAGGCAGCCGACCTTGAACGGAGCATATGCAACCGAAC